TGGGTGGGAAACCAGGGGAATAGAATGAAGCCTCTGGGAGTTGGCTAGTCGTGGTCCATGTGACACCCAGGAAGAGAGCCCCATATCCCACCTCAAGATAGGTGTCCTGCTTTCCTGACACCTCTCCAGCACATCAGGGTCCATCCCTCCACAGACTGCAAAGGCTCTTGGAGGTGTATCCTCTGTCGCAATACAGTATAGCAGGAGCCCTGTGAGAGAAGTGACCTTTTACTAGTCATTAGGCATCTTCAGTGTGTGAGGCAGTGGGCTACCCAGGGAACAGAACCCCCACCCTGTCCCTGTGCTCACAGGCCTTGCCCAAACACAAACACATCAACAACCAACAATAAATAATTACAAATTGGGCTAAGTGCTCTGAAGACGGGAAAGTGTAATTAGCCTGTGCGTGCCTCCCCCGGCCCTCGAGGCCTGCCCTCATTACAGAACGCCTGCACCACCGGACCTCCCTCCACAGTACACTGCTTGGCCAAGGGCCCTGCTTCAGGCTGGAGGCTGAGTACCTGGCATAGCAGGGGGTTGACAACAGGTCAAGGAACATTTTTGAGCCATATCCAAAAATAAAATAAGTAAATAAAAACAGTGGTCATCCAATATAATAATTTTAAAAAACAAAGATCATTGAGTACAACCTTTCTGGCCCTTGAGGCCAAGAGATGTCAAGCATTGGACTCCAAACCATACAGCTGGTGAGTGGCAGAGCCCCAGATCAGAAACCAGGTTTCCTAACTCCAGGTCCAGAGCTCCTGCCACCACCCTATGTGTCCTGCTTTCCTGACTCCAGCCCATCTTGAACCAGTCATAGCCTCCAGGGGTCCAGAGCCTCCTGGCCTATCTCAGACACCTTCTTTGCAGACCAGCCCTGGCCAGTAAAACCACATGTCATGATGGCATTGTTTTGGTCTGTATTGTCCAACACAGACATGCCTCCTCCACTGCCCATGAGATGTGGCAGAAAGAGCTGGGACCCAGGGGGAGAGGCGCAGCAGGTACAGAGTATCATTTTGACCTCCCCAGGAAACTTCTGCCCTAAAAGCCACAGGGAGCCACTGAAGGACTCTATCTAGTAATGAAATGTCTTGATTTCAACCTCCGTGGGCCCCTGAGGAAGCCACAAGTCCTCTGAACTCCACAGCACCTCTGACACTCCAGGAATACAGACTTTCTCATTGTCACCATTCCATATAACTTGTCACCTCAAAGCTTATGAGATGACACCCCAGCCTGCAGAACATTTCCCCTCCCCTGACAGGACAGACAGTTCCTCCGCCTCCAAACCTCATCCCAGTCCCCTCTGGGAAGGTGTCCCTGACACCCGCACCCGGGTTGTTATCGCTACTGTGTATCCAGAGTGTGCCTGGCACACGGAGGAGGCCTCATCTCCCTGTCTTCACTGTTAGTTTCCCCATTCTGGACCCAGGCCCTTCTCAAACCTACACCCAGCTCCCTAGTCCCCATTTCTGGGGCCCTCAGAAATTCTTATCATATAGCCACAGGTTACTCAAAGGCCCACAGGCCACATTCCCAGGACTTGGTCCCTGGAGGGCTTCTTCTGTAGCCTTGGTACACCCTGCTCACAGGGAAGATCTAGAGAAAGGAGGCCAGGCACTGACCAGGCAATGGCCAAAGATGTGAACAAGGAAACACATTTAGGAGAGGGAACGAGAGATGGACAGAACCTGAGCAGCTCATCTGGAAGGGCTTCCCAGATGAGAGGCCCTCCTTCCCATCGTGCCTTGGAGTGAGGCTGAGACTCTCCTCTGCTGACTCCAAACCTGACCCTCGACCTCCAAGAACTTCATCCTGTCCAGAGCCTGAGCCAGACTGGCGTGTGCTCACTGGAGCATTCATTCAGCAGGTGTGTCTCAATGTCCTGCATTACGAGGCCTGCCGCTCCATAGGCCAGGCCTCAGGCCAAACAGGAGCTAGGCAGAGAGGAGGCAGTGAAACTATGACACAAGGATGCCATTCCCATAAGACCATCCAGCTAGGCCATGGGGGGTGAGCCCAGACACCTCCCCTCTCCCAGGGCTGAGGAACAGGGCAGCCTGGCCAGCCCTCTGAGCCAGCAGGGGATTGAAGGGACAGGCAGGCAGGAGGCAAGAAACAGGAAATGGGAGAAAAGGCAGATAAGAGTGAGGTTGGAAGGGAGTGATGTGGAGGAAGAAGTGGGAGAGAGGAGGAGAGGGAGAAAGAAGAACACCTCCTCACTTGAGGACCAATTCCAGGAGGTTCTCAGCAACCACCAAGGCCTCCTTTCCACTCCATCCCTGGCCAGCCCTCCACTCTCCTTGGGAGACTTGGGAGGAGAGAAGAGAGACAAGGATTCCTGGCCCTGCACCTGGAAGGACAGACCAGGACAGGTCTCCAGAGCCCCAGAGGCACACAAGATGCTCACATACCCCTTCAGCTGCGGTTGCCCAAACTCATTCCCATCTAGTAGGGGGTCTGAAAACTGCCCAGGTTCCTAAACATCCCTGAGAGATTAAAAAAAACCTATCTCCCATCTCCCACTCCCCAGGCTTCCTGTTTGCCTGGGATGCTGAGCCGCTAGGGATCAGGGCTCCTCAAAAAGACCAGGAGAGGGTCATGTCAGATGCTCCGTGAGGGTGAAGGGCTTCCCTGGCTGGGAGAGAGGAGCTTGCACTCAGAGACAACAGCCTGGATCAGAAGACTCCCAAGGGGTGGAGGCAGGTATGGGTGAAATTAGTAGAGGAAAGGGGGTGCAGGACCAATAAGGAAAGGAAGGAGGAGGCAGGGCTTGGCGGACTATGGAGTTTTGTTTGTTTGGGGCTTTTTTTGCTGCTATTCCTGTTTGACAGCCAGCGCTGTAACAAAGATACTTATACAACTGCACTCAAGGGAGACTGCAGAGCAGGAGAGGAGCAGCAGGTGGGCCTTACGTTCCTGCCCCAGACAAACTAACCCTCCAGGACACCCCCAAGGAAAGTCACACAGTGTTCAGGCCCCAAAATGCCAGCCTAGAAGCCAAGGATTTGACAATTCAATGTGACAAGTTTAGGGCTCAACTGAAGCTAGCAGAAGTCACAGAGAAATGACAGGCTGAAGGTAGTGGAGACACCAAAGAGTTAGGTGAACAGCTGAGAGCTCTTCTGGCTAAGGCCCAACAGTGAGAAGCAGCCACTTTCCTTTACTGTCCCCATTCCTTCCTGAAGTCCTAGAACTCAGAAGTTAGGACTAGGGTAAGAGCTCTTACTCCAGCCATGGGCCTCCAGGTCTACCACTACAAATGGTGCCTAGCCCACCGAGTGCCTCTGTACAGAGGGTGGTGAATTCAGAGTCTCTCTCAAACAGCCGTGTCTGTAGAAAGGATTGAGGGAGCATTTGGGACATACCTGACATACTGGCATCTATTTTGACATTGGCAGAGCCCAGATGCCATCTCCTGCCCCTTCTTCTCCCAAGGAGCACTCAGTAGTGGCCAGGGTGGGGAAGGGCATGGCCTTACATCTGACCATATGCCATTTAGATACCAGTCCAGGTTAAAGATAGTGGGTGACCATGGAGTCAGGAAGGTAGCATGTAGCAGAAGAGGAGCAGACACCATCATAGTGAGCCAGTCACCCAGAAGGGCCACACCACCCACCCTAGCAGCTGATCCTGGATCCCAGGATCAGAAAGGATACATGGCCTCAGTGCACAGTACTTACTGTGCCCTAGTGAGCCAGAAGTGTCCAGGTTGGGAATGAGGTCTGTACTAAGGGGCCAAGACTCAAGGTTGGTAATGTGACCTCAGTGAGCAGATCCCCTCAGGACTTCTGTCATCCTTGAGTCCCATAGGGGACTAAAACCATTCTGTCTCTGACCATCCAAGTCTCTACCAGACATGCTCCTCTCTCTGCTTTAGGGTGGTGTGCCAGGTCCAGGAAGAACACCCAGAGCCAGCCGCAACAGGGGCCATCAGGGTAGGGAAGAAGGAAGAGGTTGAATGGAGCCTCGGGGACTAAGGGAGGGGAGGCGTGCCCGGGCTGAGGGCCTTCTGCAGTCCGTGGAGCCTCTATTTCCACTGTGTGTTTCTATGAAAAAGGTCAAAGTATCTAGAGAAGCTGAGATGGGAAGATGGGAAGAAGGGAGAATGAGGTGGAGGGGGTGTTCTCACAGCTATAGAGGCAGAGCTGCATTCCATCAGGGCCCCCAAAGGTGAAGGCAAACACCCTGCACTGAGGCTGGCTCCTTCCAGCAGGTCCTCTGCTAAGACCTTTGCCTGCACTACCTCCGGTATGGCTGGTATTTTCATCCCCCTTTACAAATGAGGGCAAAAGTCTAGTAACCTGCCAGAGGTCACGCTATGGTGAGCAGCCAAGTTGAGTCTTGAACCCAACTTCGATTTTCCAAAGCCAAAGACTCTTGCCTTGATGATCTATTTCCTGCACCTTGAGACAGTGGGTTGCACATTGCAGTTCTCCAATAATGAGTGAAGGCAGGAAGCAAGGGGGAAGATAAGCCAGGGAGACTCTTTGGCAGCTAGAAAATAATAATAAAGGTGCTGTTTTCCTGTGCCAGGCTGGCACAGTGCCCAAGACAGCTGCCCTGCACTCGGGAGCTCAGGGCTGCGCTTGCCTCATCTTTTCCAGAAGTATGTGAGCCCAGCTACGTCACCTTTCAGGTATGTAGTAAGGTCTGTGGCCACAGGCTCTCTTCCCCCTCTCTCCTTCCTTTTTAAGTCTACCTTCTTGACACCTCTCACCCCAGACCCACCCAGCCAGCCCAGCCTTTGTCCCCTCCCCTGAGAGTCAGGCCTGGCTTGGTTGGGGGCCTGTGACCAGCCCCTTTAGCAAGGTAGCTCTGCCAGAGAGGCAGGCAGATGGTGCGTGGTGCCGGGGGAGGGGCAGGAGTTCCACATCATCTAACAGGTTGGTCTGGCTGGTAGGCGTCCCGCCCTCCTGCAGCTAATGAGCACTGTACAACAGGTGTTTGTGCCTCAGTCCCCAGCCTGCCCTGGCTGCAACAGGAGGCAGCCACCACCACCTCTCCAAGGCCCACTTGCTCATCCCTGGGCCCTCCTGCTCCCAGGCCGGGGGGGCCACCATGGCCTGCCGCTCCTGCGTCGTTGGCTTCAGCAGCCTCAGTGGCTGTGAGGTGACTCCTGTGGGCAGCCCCCGGCCTGGAACCTCAGGATGGAGCAGCTGCGTGGCCCCAGGGCCAAGCTTCAGTTCCCACAGCCTCACAAGCTGCCGGCCAGCTGATACCATCCCCAAGGTGACCGTGAACCCCAGCCTGCTGGTGCCCCTGGACCTCAAGGTAGACCCAGCCATCCAGCAGCAGAAGAACCAGGAGAAGGAGGAGATGAAGGTCCTCAATGATAAATTTGCCTCCCTGATTGGCAAGGTGAGCAGAAGTGGGAGGGTGTACCAAAATAGAAGGGCTGTCTGGCCTGGGCAGGTGGCTATGCTCTGTATTTTCCTGAGCATCGGTCATCATGCCCCGCCTCTGCCCCTAGCCAATGGAAAGGCAGCATGGCTAAGCCAGCAAGCTAATTTTGAGCCTCAGAGAGATGAGGAGGGAAGTCCTGATCCATCCTGGTGTCTGGGGAGAAAGGGATCCCCAGATGGCCTCTGAGGGGTGTCTGGATAAGGACATGCTACATAAATAGGGGGTCACCCTATCCCCCCATGTAAAACTAGAGAGGAGCACCCAGTGTGGCCAAGGAAATGGCTAGTACAGGAAAGGTGTCATGGAGCCATGACCTGCTGTCCTACTCCTAGGCAGGTGAATAGGAAAGATGACATCCTGAAGCCCACCCCCTCGTCTGTCCCTCAAGGCCCTGAACAAGCAACATCTGTCTTAAAACAGCCTTGCTCAGCTTCCCTGGTCAGTAGAACAGGCAGGGCTGAGGGGCACGTGAGCTGCCGGAAGGAGGCTGCCACTGAGGCCCCAGTGAGCAAAGCTACATCTTTAGTCAGAAGATAGGAATGCAGGGGACGATGCCTCGAGTCAGAACCAAGCAGCCAGTGGGGCAGCCAGCTGAGCCTCCTTGCAACCCACCTGAGTAAAGAAGACAAGTCCTTAATACCCAACTCTCCATACTTCCTAGGTTCTGCTGCTCATGACCACGGTCTAGGGCTCTCATGTCCATCTCTACCACCAGGGCAAGGGAGCTCCAAGGAAATCCTAACTTCCCCCAACCAAGCTCCCCACTCACTTCCTCTAAGGAGCTCCTTGAGCCCAGCCCTCTCAGCTCCTCTCCCTCCTGCCCTGACCAGAAATGATAATCCCAAGAGCAACAGCTGTATTGATTGCTTACCATGGGCCAGACACTGCTGGACCTTTTATATTAATTTATCTCTACTTCCTTCGAAAGAAGACATTTGATACCCATTTTCCAGATAGCTTCCTCCTCTCTGAGCAAACAAGAGGCCCAGCCTCCTGTCCCGACTCAGTCCTTGTCTTCCCTTGTCTCTGATTCTAGGTTTCTCTGTGTATTGTTGGCTGCCCCAGGAGGTGGAAGCTCACAGAGAGAGGCAGAGGGCAGGAAGTCACATGCATGGAACACAAGTTGTGGATGTTGTGTCAGTCCCTCCATGGGAACTTGGCAAGTGGGATGGATGTAGCTCACACAGCACGACAGCAGAGGCTGTCATCTTCCCAATTCTGCAGATGGGGAAACCAGAGAGGACCAGAGAGGCCAAGGGCTTTATCCCAAGTCACACACCTAGCAAGTGGCATAAGCTTAGATTTGAACTCAGGTCTATAAGACACAAAATCAGGATCTCTGAGATTATGGAGATCATATCTTTCCCTTCCCCATTCATGTGCCTGGACCATAACTGGGGTTATGTGTTTCCTTGGGCATAGATGGGGGTCCATGAAGGGGGAAGACAAATGACCACAGAGGCCATGCATCCCTTCCCATAGTGCAGGCTGCACCGAGTCCCGTTGCCAGGCTGGTTTTCCTGCCCTGGGAAGCAGGGCCCTGCAAGGCACCTCCTCACCAGCCAAACCCAGCTAATCCCTTAAAAGGAGTGCTTCACTGAGCTATGTAATTTGGCTCAGATGGATGGCTTTTCTCCCTCGAACGCCAGTGCTGATGTCACCCTGTGCCTCTGCCATGGGCACAGGGTGGCAGCCAGTGGGTGTGGGCACAGGGAGGAAGCCCTCGGGGTTGGGGTCCTGTGCCCAGGGCCAGGGAAATGGCTTACCTTGAAGGTCTTTAGCTGAACTGGAGCCTCTGAACCCACCAGCCTGGCCTTGAGATAGAGTGCCTTTTGTAGTGTGGAGCAGGGAGCTGGGGTGCCAACTTCGGGGGCCCTGATGGCTGGGGTTCTGCCCTAGGAGCCTTAGCTCCTGGTAAAGGCCATGAGGCCTGAGTGGAAGCAGGTAGAAGCTAAGACAGTGAACTCTAGAGCGCCTTAACTGGGTTTAAATCCTGGCTCCACAGCTTCCCGGCTGTGTAATCCCAGGCAAATTACTTCACGTCTCTGCGCCTCAGTGCACATCGGTGTAATGGGCTTGTCAATCAAATGGGATGAGCTTTGAAAAGCAGTTAGAACACACCTAGCACATGGTAAATGCTTTATAACTGTTAAATAAAAATAAAATAAATGAGTCTGGCCCAGAGAGCTCTCAGAATCCACCTAGGCAGGAGCCTGGAAAGGAGGGAGGGAGGGGTCCTGCAAGGAGTATGGGTACCACTCAGGCTGTAGGGAAGTGTAGGCCCATGGGCGAGATGCCATGACCAGATCAGGGGCAGGGGCAGGGACACTGTGCTCCACATCCCCTTCTGGGCCCTCTGAGGCATGGAGAGAAACCAGAGTGTGAAGGGGTGGGAAGAAGGGAAGAGCAATGGAGGGAGTGGGAGGTAAGGAAGGGTCTTCCACAAGTTGTCAGAGAGACCCTGAAGTTGGGTTGTTTCTTCCACTTGTTAACTGTGTTTCCTTGGGCCTCTTACTCTCTCTCTTACTCTCTCTGTGCCTCTAGTTCCATGGCAAAGCTCTGCACTGCTGTACAAGTGGCCCTGAGCTTCTGCCCGTGGCGGGACTGGCAAAGCCAAGTCATGAGAGAAGGGGAGGGAAGCAGCAGGGATGGCAGGGCCTACGTCCAGCAGGGGCAGCTGTTGCTGCCTCTGGCCTTTCCACACAAACAACAGAGGCAGAGGAGGTGGACAAGAGGAAGGACTGCCCAGGGTCAGCCTAAGGAGCCTGTGGTGAGGAAACCCAAGAGCAGTGGTGAATGTCTGGAGACAGAGGGGTGGGGAGATGCTTTCCCTTAGGCCTGGGTGACCTCTGGACATCATCACCTGCCTGGGGGTAGCAGATGCAGACCAGCCCCTCCTGATGAAGGGACTCTGGCTCCTTGGCTGAAGGAAAGGGATTCCATGCTCTTCCCAGAGGAGTAGGGACCTGCCTGCCCCAGAGAAGCTTCCCTGTAGGCTCGAGAACCAGAGCCTCAAGGTGACCAGCCCCTCCTCCAAGACCCTCTCCCACTCCAGCCAGAGCTCCAGCTCAGGCTGCTCAGTTTCCAATACAAAGAAAACATCCCTCCCTGTAACCCTGGTTCAGCTTGGCCCAGTACCATGAGTTCTGTGCCTCTGAGCCTCAGTTTCCTCAGAGGTGATGTAGGGAAGTAGATGGAGTGGGTGTGTGCTCTCAGAGGTCTCTTCTAAAGCTGCTACTGTTTGGCCAAAGGGCAGGGGGTCAACGAGGCCAGAGAAAGGAGTTAGAAGGGAGAGCTCAGGGCCTCTGTGGGTTGGAGGCCCTTACCTGGTACCTCTCAGAGCTCTGGGATTATTGGCCCTCCCTAGGCCTTTGTTCCAAGAGGGAGGAACCTCTCTGAAGGGAGGGTCCTAGGTGAGGGATGAGTTTCCATTCCTACCCACTGAGACAACAAGAGATGCCCCCAAGGGCAGCAGGAGACAGAGAGCTCCCCTGGTCCCTCAGGATCACAAGTACCCTCAGGCTGGTCAAATGCACACCATCTCCCAACAGACCAGTGCTGAAGCATAGAACATTGAGGTTAGACTAAGGAAAGAACTTGCTGGTGTGAAGGTTTTTCTGTTTCTCATGGGTGGAGGAAGGAGCCTCATGTCTCTCCTCTCACCCCACCCTCAGTGTAAACACAAGACTCCTGCTTGTCAGAACTGAGTGAAGGTGGGGTGAGAAGATACCTCCCCCCGCCCCACGCTCCCTCTCTCACACAAAGCAGGGCAGAAACCTTACTGACCTCCATCCCCACTGAACCTGTTTGGCTGTGACTACAGCAGACGGTAGGTTTAAGGCACCTTCCAGCAGAACTTCCCAGTAGAGATGAGAATGAAGCAGGTGAATGACAGCTCTCAAGGGCTGCCGTCATCCTTCTGCTGGCCTGGGCTAAGCTGAATGGCAAAGGAAGCTTCCCAAGGTCACTAGGGTGTCTCAGGACAAAGAAGGAAACCTTTGCAGGTGGGGCCACAAGAGAAGAAGGAAAGGGAGCCATGAGGGCCCAAGGTAGGCAGCAGCCATCAGAGGGGTCTGTCTGGGAAGCTTGCTATGTGGCTCTGGACAAGTCACCTGACCCCCAGAACCTCTCATTCTTTGTAAATGAATGCACAGAGCAGCTGCTTAGATCTGGACCAAGTTTAGGGGGGTGGGAAGCAGCTACTTGCTGAGATCACTGGCTAATGATCATGGAGTCCAGCCAGCCACCCTCCACCTCAGTGGCCTACTGTGTCCTGGGACCTCAGGAAAAGGGCAGATGGCTCCTAGTCTGAAGGAGAAGGTGGTGGTTGGAAAATAAGGACATCAGTGAGGGCCATGGTACTGGAAGGAAGGGGAAGCTGTATGGGCAGCTTCCTGCAAGAGGGAGGCAGGGGAGCTCTGACCAAACTAGACTGGGCTGGGGGAAGGAAGGGGAGCATGAAGAGGGACCTTGACACCCTTCTAGTGGCCAAGCTATGGTCCATGGGCTCAACTGTCCCTGTGGGAGTCCAAGCAAGAGTTGGAGATTGAGGGAAGAAGCAGGACTCAGAGCCCTCCCAGTCTTCATCCTGGAGGGAAACCTGGCTCTACCTGGAAGCAGAAGCCTGCTCAATAGGCAGGTGGGTCCCAGGTCCCAGTGACCCAGCAACAGACAGGAGGCAGGCACTGTGGTTAAAAGAACTCAATGCAAACTGCCTAAATTCCAGGCCAGGCTCTGCTGCATGCTGATTTTGTGACTTTAGGCAATTCTTTCAGCTCTCTGCCCCCTCCCTCATCTGTAGAATGTGCTGACAATAATACCTACCCTGTGGGGTGTTGCAGGCTTCTAATGAGCTAAATAAAGATGAAGTATTCAGAACCAGGTGTGGCACACGGTAGACTCCACATAAACATCACTGCTACCACTATGCCAAGCACAACCTCAGCTTCTGCCCCCAAAGCCCTCACAGGCAAGCAGGTGTTATCACCCCAACTTCTAGCTAGAGAAACTGAGGCTCAGAAAGGCTGCAAGTCTACGGTTATCTAGAAGATTAGCACTGAAGTCCCAAGAAGGCCCCACCATGCTGAATTTCCAAGGCAAGATGAGACCAGGCTTGCCATTGGGGAAAGAGTAAACAGGGTCTCTGACACCACACAGTACCCAGGGGTCTCCCAACCCCCTGGTTTGGAGAGCCTATCAGGCATCACACACCCTGGCTCTCCCTCCCTCATCCTGCTGCCCTGCCCTCCCCAGGAAGCCTTTGCTAATTGGCTCCACCCCCATCCTTTCCTTATCTCAGCATCTTCGGCTTGAACAGTAACTGAAGGTGCATTCTGAATGCTGAGTGCACCAGCCCGGATGGATGTGCATAGATGAGCCGTCACTTCCCAGGGAAGCCCCCCTGGGGGTGCACTAGCCTGCCAGGGGGCCCAGATGGGACCACCCCTGACTCACTCAGTGCCCTCCTGCTCTCCCAGGTACAAGCCCTGGAACAGCGCAACCAGCTGCTGGAGACCCGCTGGAGCTTCCTGCAAGGCCAGGACTCATCCACATTTGACCTCGGGCACCACTATGAAGCGTTCCAGGCCCGGCTTCAGGAGGAGCTACGCAAAGTGAGCCAGGAGCGGGGACAGCTGGAGGCCAACCTGCTACAGGTGCTGGAGAAGGTGGAGGAGTTTCGAATCAGGTAGGTCACACCCTATGGGTGTCATGGGCAGGGACTGAGGGTGGGGACCAAGCTGTACTCGGGTGGGATGCACCCAAGTCAGAAAAGGGAGAAAGACATTATGGAATATTTGTTTTCTCAAGACACATTTATTGAAGATGTCACATGTGCCAGGTGCCATTCTAAATATTGGGGATGTAGCGGTGAATCTGGAACTGTTCCCTTTCCAGGAGTGACCTTAACACAAAGCCAGTCTGGTGCTGGATTCCAGCTAAGCCCTGTGCTAAAGCTGTCCCTCAGGTGCCATCGCACCCACCGCCCTGGCTCAAGCAGCCCCCTCCCATGCCTGTAAACAACCTGCTCGTGCCACACCCTGTGCTGGGACAGGAAAGCTTGTCACTAATATAGCAATGAATGGTTCTGCTTTGCATATGGCTTTGGATTTTTATCTCAATTGACTACAAAGGAGAGAGAAGCAGCCAGGCACAGGCCAGGAATGGAAAGGATGGGTTTTATTTTAATAGGTCTTGTGCACCAGCCATTGGGGTAGCCTGGGAATCAGAGAGATGAGGAAAACACAGCTCCTGCCTGCAAGATGCTGGGCAGGCAGACAAACAGCAAGTAAGCAATACAAGCCAGTGGTTATTGGTCCCAGCATGGCAATAGACCATAGGGGGTTAATCCCCACCCCCACCAGCACTGTGAAATCAGTCAAGCAAGCTGTTTATTAGCTGGACTTCGTTTCCTCTTGTGTGAAATGGAAATGATGGTGGTTGACAACAATCTCGGCTGGCAGGGGGAGGAAGCAGAGAATTTAGCATGGTGCCTGATGGCAATAAATGGCAGTGTTACTGACAAGGGGTTGCTGAACTGAACTGGTCAGTCTTAGGAGGGCAGAATAAGCACTTAGGTGGCTCAGGGAAGAAGCGAACCTCTGTGATCAGGAATCTGACAAAGCTTCTGGGACAAGGAGGTTGAGGTAGAGCAGAAAGCCCATGCCTCTGAGCCCCCTCCTTAGCTCTGGTCTTCTTCCAAGGGGCCTCCAGCCAGGAAGCACAGTGGACCCCTGTCTACCTCTGGTAGTACAGCCCAGTCCTATGCCCTGCCAATCAAAGGTGAGGCCTACATTCTACAGAGCAATTAGCCAAGCAGAGCAGAAGATAGGGACAGCCTGTCCAGAAATCTGGACACCTGGGCTGTGGATCAGCTTGCCTACCAGCCCTCTCTGAGCCCTACCCTCCCATGTCCTAGGAAACACACCAAGCATCTGATCGCCCAATCTGAACTGCTTGGCTAACCCATCTAAACATGATGTTAAGTCTATACATCTGAATCCGCAGCCTAGTTCACTAGTTCTAGTCCCTAGAAGGACTTTGGCCCTCATAGGATCAGAAATGGCTCTGAGTGGGAGTCTTGGCTCCTCCTTTTATGGGAATAAACAGATGCCCAGAGAGCACAGGGCTTGTTCTCAGGCACACGGTGATGCATGCTAACCCTGTCGCCTCCATGAAAGGCTGCTCACCAGCCAGTGAGACCTCATCCATGGAGCTGTGCAGCTGGAGTCCTGTACAAACATTGCTTGTTATTTTTTTATGTGGCTCGGCCTCCAATCTGGCCTACTGCCTGGTTTCTGTCCACTCCATGTTAGACTCACAGCTTCTCTTCTCTCTCTGGTAGGGAGCCCACCCAGCAGGAGAAAGAGAGACTGGATCTAACGGCAAGGTTTCTGGGTCTGTAGACCACAACCAGGGAGCTGCAGCCTGGCTGTGCTGAGCCTGGGCCACCCTCCCCCCCATCCCGGGAGGGAGCCTCAGACACAGGGTGGAACCCTGACAGGGAGGGGCTGTGCCCTGCCTTGGCAAGGCGATGAGATCAGCCTTGCTCCCAGAAATAAACAAGTTACAGTGGAGGGGTGCAGGTGTGACAAGCTGAGAAGGGCCTGAGAACGAGTTTGGGAGCTAATGGCTGGCAGACTGGTAGAAGATTGGGGGTGGAATAGGGGATAAAGCATCACCTGTAGGAATGGAGACTTCCAAGGGCTTGGAGGTAACAGGGGCCCCATGGTTTGGCTTGACTAATTCTTCTGTTTACTAAGGACAAAGCAGAGGAATGGCAAGGGAAAGCAACTTTCCCAAGCCCACGTTGCAAGTGACCCAGGGACACCATATAGAGTTGTGAGAGCATGTGGTTGAGAGAATGGGGTCTGAAATCTAGTCACATTAGACTGTGCAGGCTGAGGCAGGTCACACACCCCAGAGGAAGGGACTTTACTAATTCATACAAAGCTTAGGATGGATAACAGTAGCCTTAGAAGAACTGGGACCAGCTCCAGACTCGAACCAGTACTTGGTCTCAGTCCAGAATTCCTGCTGGGCCACTAAGCCTGGGGCCTCAGGCCTCAGCCCACCTGGAAAGGCAAGGCCAGGACAGACCCAACCCAGGCAAGATGCTATGAGGGGACTCCCTCAAGTCCCCACACTTCTGACATCCTTGTCTGCTGGAGTGGCCACTTGACTCCCCTCCACTTCCTCTGCATTTTTCCTGGGGCCCCTGGTGAATCTCTCTATCAGGTGGATCTTCAAGGAATACCCTAGGAATACAGGTTTGCCGCTTGCCTGCAAAGGACACATTCAAGGGAGTGGGAGACTGAATGGGGCTCATCCAAGTCTTTACAGGGGACAGAGCTATCAACAAATCAGGGAGCAGACCCCAAGCAATTAGAAATTACTCAGTGGGCCAAGTGATCAGACATAGAGTGATGAGGGCATCTGATGGGAGGGAGGCAGGGAGGTTTCAAGGAGTACAAGAAGGTATGAAGGTGTGAGGAGAGGCTGGGAACCTGAGGACCCCACCAGGCTGCCTTCCCCAGGGTCCTCCCCCATGCAGCAGGACTCTGCTACCCAGAGGAGAGGGAGAGAAAAGGATTGAACCACCTGCCTGCATATGGAGGGCAACCAATGAGGGGCACATGCCTAAGTAACTTCCCAAGGCCACAGCTAGGAAGGCAGGATTTGAGCCCTCTGCTTAACCAGCTCACCACAGGCCCCTCCAAACCTTTCTCAGAGTTTCTGTTTCCTCATCTGTGGAAGGAGACACATAGGACCTCACCAGAAGGGGACTCTGAGAGTCTTAGGAGAGGGTGCCCAACACAGGGGGAGGGTGTGGTCCTGAGTACCCATCCCACCCCCTCCAGTCATGATTTCTGGGGCATTTTGTTCTTGATGGCCAGCCTTCTGCCCAACTCCCATGACCTACACCCTCACAACCCCTCAGAGACTCTTGGAAGCCAACACAGGGCCAGGGATAGTGTTTGTGACTGGCATCTCAAGATGCAGAGATCCAAATGTCCTGTGAGCCCTCACTCCCTCCTCTTCTTGGGTGGGCTGGTGGACAAGAACGCATGAGGAGGTGCGCCAGCCACCTGACGGGGCCATGGATGATGCTGCCCCTGATGTGAGGTCAGGGACTGGGCCAGTCAGGCAGAGAGGCGACTGTAATTAGAGCCATCAGTGACTCAGGCATGCCCTAGAGAGGAGGGGAGAACCATACCCGACGCTGCTGGAGCTGTGGAAAGCTGAGGTAGGAGATCTGAAGCTGTCTGATGCCAGCCTATTGGGGGCAGAGGAGACATGACAAACATCTTGATTGGAGGAAGAGGGTAAGGTCAGGGACGCTGGAGTCCTGTCCCCCATCTAACAGTGCCTTGTTGCAAATACTTGTGGCATTGACTACGGAGGAGAGCAGTTGTAGAATGGAATATTTTGTAGTGTTAGCTACACACTAAGCTGCCTGCCATTTAACAGGTAGGCTTTGTCACCCCTCCTCCTGCCCCCACAGACACACCCCTTAGAGACAAGGAAGCCGAGGGAGGAGAGATAAAGTCACCTGTCCCAAAGTACACTGTGGATCCTCTCTTTCTGTCTTCTTTTGGAGGGAGCAGGATGGGATAGCTACCCACTGTCTAACAAAACAGAAGGAAGGAGAGTGGGGCTTCGGGGAAGGGGGTCGTAGGAGAAGGGGAGGTGAGCAGGATGCTCAGAAAGGACCTGGTCCCATGCATAGCTAGCCTGAACCCAAGATTCTTGAGGAAGAAGTAGAGAGACAACAAAAGAGCAGGGAGATGGGGTAAAAGGGAGTATAGTCAGGAAGGCTTCTTGGAGGAGGTGGGTGTGCTGCAGAGCCAGGAAAGGGACAAATGCTGCTGCAGAGAGAGAATGAGAACAGGAGCTGGCATCACTGAAGAGAGGGGATGCTTGCAGCTGTGTCCACTGAAGGAAGGTTTCTAACTGGCACAGCCACCAAGTGGGATTGTGGAGGCTTGAGCCCCACCCAAAAAGAACTAATCAAACCCCAACCCTCACCACATCACCTGAGCAACCTCTCCTCCCATCCCCAGGTATGAGGACGAGATCTCTAAGCGCACAGACCTGGAGTTCACCTTTGTCCAGCTGAAGAAGGTAGTCTGCCCAGCCCACCCCAAGGTCCTCCCTATGGATTCCTTCAGAACTACACATTTTCCCTTGTGCTCAAGCAAAGTTCTCAGAGGCTTAAGTCCCACAACCAGGAACAGATAGAGAGATATGTCTGTCTCCAGCCTCCCCTTCCTCCAGGCTCTGATCGAGAGCTCCTCTGGGAATTCACACACACACACACACACACACACACACACACACACACACACCCAGGAAGCTAAGTTCCCCCTCCTGCTTCTGCCCTGGGACACCGCCATTCCTTCTCTATCTCTCACCTCTGTTCCCAACCCCAGGACCTGGATGCTGAGTGTCTTCGACGGACCGAACTAGAAACCAAGTTAAAAGGCCTGCAGAGCTTCGTGGAGCTGATGAAAACTGTCTATGAGCAGGTGAGTGGGATGAAGTCAGTATCCCCTGAACCAGAGCAGACTGCTCAATGGGAGGCACAACGGAGGGTAGAATATCCAGGGAAATGGAACATTCCAACAGTCCTGAGTTCCAGTCACAAACATAACTTCCTAAGCCCCTCCCTGTCTTGATAGCAAAAACCCTATATCCCTTGCCTATCATTTCTTGAAACGTGGACAGAGTCTCCAAAGCCATTCTCTCAGGTAGAACCATGACTTCAGCTGTGGTGCTGAAGGTATGCGAGGGTCCAAGTGTATGAGGCAAGGATCAGGAGGCTGGCCTCTACCTAGGGACCTTGAACAGCCATTCCAATTGAACTGATCTCCCTCAAAGCCACACAGCCTAAACCATAGGCACCCACACACACACCAGGTTCCACTCTGATGGACCTGCATTTTGCCCTTTCGCACTTTTGGCTTAGGCAGGGAAGACTTAGAGCCAGTTTCTAACAGAACAAAAATGATCCAGTAAACGCAGACAGAGAGACCTCCAAAATACATTGTCATTTGTCTCCTAAGTCCTTAGCTGAGCTTGGCTGGACAGTGACCTGGCAAAGCCTGTGCATGTTGCCAGTGCAGCCTTCAGGTGAACCCTCTGCTGGCCCTCTGCCCCACCGCAGCCTCGTGGACATCCTGCAGGGTGCCTGCCTCCTCTCCACATCCCCTCTTACAGGGGTGAGGGGTGCAGAGGTGATACCCCTGCACTAAAGGGCCCTTCCACAATGTCTACCATCCAGCTTAGAGGAGGCAGACCATTGTTGGGGTTGAAAGTATTTGGGGCAAATTGCTGGCTCCAAACAATGGCAGTGCAGCCGCGGTCAGAGCAGAGATCAAAGTTACTATCGCATTCAAGAAGTTCTGTTAGAGGCACTGTGGCCTACTAACCACAATGTCATGACCTTTCCCATGAAAAGGAAACTTAGGCCTCATGGCTGTGCATGCCTTTCTAGCAGGCTCAGCACCTCCAGGTTCCCCCCATGGGACTGAGACCTGCTATGATCATGGGATATGACAAAGCAGAGAGAAGGCAGCCTTCCAGCTTTCCCTGGAAAGCATCCTGTCCTGGCATAGCCAGGCCAGACCCAAGGGTGCTGCCCAGGGCTCTGTGCCCTCCAGCTGGCTTGAGAAGTGGTTGGGGGCTTCTCTGCCCAAACTCTGGATGGATTGGCCTAGGCCAGGCAGGCATCAGAGAGCCAGTATTTCCTAATCTGTGCTCCATCCTGCTTACCAACACCCAGCAAGTCCAGATCTGAAAGGGCCAGGACAGAGAGTGATACGTACTGGAATACAAATAAATCAGGTGATGTGATCATGCTGGAAGGAGAGGAAAATTTCAGAGCCAGGGCCTCTCCAAGGAGGGAAGTCCAAGATGGGGATGGTGCAGTTTAGCAGGAAGAACTGTACAGCCTCTAAGGCAAGAGTGAGCTTGGTGGCTAACAGGAGAGGAGGAAACCTATGATCAGAGCAGACAGGGCAGGGTGGCAGGGTGGGACTTGCGCATCAAGGAGAATGAGCAGCGTTGGCTCCCGTGGGTCCTTAAGCTCTGAGGCAGAGTTTGACTTCATGTAAGTGTGATGAACACTGGAGGTTACTAGGGAGGGGTGCCACATGGGGAACTCGGGGTATGGTTTGTGCTGTTATAAGACTACCATGGAACAGGGACTACAATTAAGGTAATGAGGGCTGGTGTTTTACAGTTGTCTCTGTATTCTTGGGGATTGGTTCCAGGACCCCTGCAGATACCCAAATCCTTGAATGCTCAGGCTCCTCACATAAAATCACATAGTATTTGCATGTAACTTACACATCCTCCCACGTACTTTAATCATCTCTGGATTGCTTATAATACCTAATACAATGTAAATGCTACAGAAATAGTAGTTATCACACTATTGTTTTAGAGAATGATGACAGGAAAAGGCAGTCTCTACACGTTCAGTATGCGTTTGAATCCTCTACTGAGGAACCTGTGGATACAGAGGGGCACCCGTGTAATAGTTATTGTTACTTTTGCAAGCATCAAGGTGGAAGTCAGATGAGTTTTGCATTTCTCTACATGTACCTCTTTAGACTGAGAAGGCAGCACTGACCCTTTGCCAAAGAGTTTCACCACAAATATCAGCCACATATGTAATTTTAAGTCTTCTAGTAGCCACATTGTATAAAAGAAGCAAGGCTGGGAGTGTGGCTAAGTGTAGAGCATTTGCCTAGCATGCATGAGGTCCTGGGTTCCATCCCCAGTACTGCAAGAAAAAAAATGGCAGGAAAATTTAATTTTAATAATCTATTTTATTTAGCTCAATATAAACAAGATATGATTATTCTAATATATAATCAATATAAAAATTAATGGATTAGTTTACTCTTTGTTTCTATTAAATCTTCAAAATCTAAAGGGTATTTTCCACTTCCAGTTCATCTCAGTTTAGACCAGCCATATTCTAAGTGCTCCACTGCCTCTGTGTCTGGTGGCTACCTAACTGTGCAGAACAGTCTAAGCAAAGGGAGGTGACAACCCACAGTTGTCTCTGATAGAAGGAAAAAGAGGGCAGAGCACGGGTAGCCCGAGGAGGACTGGATCAGATCAGAAAAGTCTTACTATATAGGCCCATTCCATGTCCCAGAAATAGCCCTCCCCTCTCCCCAACACAGAGGGCACACAGCAGGGACACTGAAAAGTCCTTCCCAGCCAGCTGGGCAGGACCCTATGACCATGACACGCTCAGAGTGCTTGTGAGGCTTGGATGCATCCAGCTGGAACATGGCCTGCCCCACCCATAAGCTCTGGTTGTAGGGATTAGCAGTGGAATCTGCTGACGACCTCCTGCAGCCAGGCACACCTCCTGGGAGGCTGTCTAAACAGCTTTGGCAGGGAGGCTATGCCAGGAATCGGCAGCTCTACCCCTGGACCCTGCATTCTGGCTTCATCAGGACAATAATATCCTTAGCTGCTATTTATTGAGAACCTACTACACTCCACACACTGTGCTAACTGCTTTTCAGACTTAATCTCAGTTAATCTTTACAGTAACTCCATGAATTAAGGATAATTAGAGATAATAATTACAGGAGCACAGATTTTAGAGCAGCTTGGATTTGAATCCTGGCTTAGTAACTATGTGAACTGGAGCAGGCTATTTTAATCTCTCCATGCCTCAATTTCCCCATCTCTAAAATGGAAAAACTAATAGCACTACTTTGCTGTGCTGTTGTGAGGATTTATTTCTTAATAGATCCTAAAGCACTTGGAATAATATCTGTCACATAGTAATCATTTAATAGACATTAGTTGCTTTCAATAAGCATTTTACAGATGATAAAACTGAGACCCAGACTGGAGGTGTGGCTCAAGTTGTAGAGTGCCTGCTTTGTAATCGTGAAGCCCTGAATTCAAACCCCAGTCCCACCAAAGAAAAAAAATAAACAGTGTACTTAATACACAATAGATGGCATTTTCAATGTATCCACATATGAATAAAGGAGAAAAAAAAAACCTAAGATCCAGAGACCAGTCACATTCTAAGTGTTCCATCACCTCTGTGCCTGGTGGCTACTTAACTGTGCAGAGCAGTCTAAGCAAAGGGAGGTGACAACCACAGTTGCCTCTGGTAGAAGGAAAAAGGTGGCAGAGCATGGGTAGCTTGCTCATGGTAAAAACTTTGGTAGCTTGTCATGAGCAAGCTATGTCAGAAACAGATAGACTCACTTGTGTCTTTCCACAATGTCAGAATTAATTAACTAACAATAAATTCACAAGCTATGTCAATTTTGTTGGCATTAATTTGCCAAGTACTACTGATTTCACTTGATAGCCATAAGCCATTAGCAAATTATTTCTTTTGTTTCAATCTTAATTACTAACATTAACTTTCAGGTCACACATTACACTTCAGAACTGCTAAGATAGGGTAAAAGCAGCTGTAGAGTTCAAGGAGGCCTTCCTGAAGGCTGGTACAGATGCAAAGAAAGTCACTTCAGGTGCTTAGATATTAACATAAGGAACCTAGACGCTGAGATGTTGAGGCCTAATGGTGTGAAAACTTAGACCTTGTTCAAGGCACAATGCTAGTTCAAGGTACAGAGCTGGTTCCAGGTTTACTGGGTCTGGATGGATGACAATTAAAATGAGTCACAGGAGATCATGCTGAGCTGAAGCCCCGGGAACAGAGTTGGGAGGCCGTGGATCCCATGCACTGATGGTCTGATGATGAGTTAGTGGGTGCCACTGTACCCCAGTGTTAGGCACCCCTCCTTTTATCTGATCCAGGTGAGGGGGTTGCATCTTTCCTTGGTGCATTCCTTGGTGTGTATGATAATTCATGGGCCTGGTCTTTCTGATAAGATTTTGATACACTCGTGTGTCCATATGTTCCTGATAAGTTCATAGGTGGTACTCTTTTATTTGTGTAAATAAGTTATTTATCAATCTGTCTCATGCTTTGTGCTGGACAGATGGAGGTTGTTTACTTGCACAAATGAGATGGAAAGTCATTCTGCCTCAGCATTTACCCTCAAAAGGGAGCGAGCATACTGCTGCTTTATAAAATGGAGTCCCTCGGGGCAAGGCACATCCTGAAAGCTACATTCTATACAATATGGAGGAACTTTGGCGCAGGACTCAGCCTAACCTCCACATCTAACAAATAAGACATGGCAGTATTCAGAGTCCAGTGCCCCTTAAGTGCTATTTTACTAAGCCCCACTAAGTTGCCCCTTTCGTGGGGAACACGATGAGGGTAGTCCCACACATGGCAGCCTCCTCAGGTTCTGGCTCCTAAGAATTACTGTGGTATAATTCTTGCCAACTTGAAGGTGCTGGGGGCCCATCCAAGGTGGTGCTTCTACAGTACACAAGCAAGCATTGTTATCCCCTCCACTCCCGGCAGGGCCCAGCATGTCTGAACAGGTCTGTGGATGTTCTCAACACCCCATTTCCAGCTTCTGTTTACCACACTCCTGCCTAGGCTCTTTCCAGAAAGGGTCTGAGGCTGCTCCATCAGCCGTGTCTTGTCCATCCCTTGGCCTGACAGGGGAGCCCCCCTGAAGCTTTTCTTGGCAGTGTCCTGGCCTTTCCCTGGACCAAATGTCAAATCAGGCCCAAGCTTGGGTGCTGTGGGGGCTCCATTCAGGGTCCTGCATTCACTGACCTCCACAATACCTCCCCCGCCAAGGAAGCTCTGGAACCGCATCTCTAGAATTGTCTGTGACCATGCCCAGCCCATGCCCAATCCATGTGGGACATATCAAGTGGTAACCAGGCAGTAGAGGAGGAGCATGTGTCTGTAGTAATTATCAGCCTTATTCTGGGTTGGGCCCTCAGCCTGCCTTTGCCCAGAGACTTCTATTCAGTTCATTTGAAGATAACCAAAACCCCTTAGCAAGAGACTCCCAAGGGCAATTGACCACTAGGCTCTGGGTCCTGCCAGCTCCCGGGCAGAGATGGATGCCCAAGAAGGGTCTTCAGAATGTCTACCACAGTCTAAGCTTCCTTTCCCAGGAGGCCCTCCTTGTCACCAGAAGATGCTTGTGGGCAGGGGCTGGCATATGAACAGTCAAGAAGGGTATCATTTAAAGCTGTCCATGCAGCCTATCTGACCACCCCACTTGGTCCTGTAGTCTACAGCTCCAGGGTACAAGCTATGCATCAGAAGTACCAGACCCTGCCAGGGGCAGAAACAGAGGACCTACCAAATTTCTGAGTATAACAATGGACAGAAGAGCCAGGCAAAGTGGGAAGATCAAGGTTTGAGGCCAGCCCAGGCAGATAGTTTGCAAGACCTCCATATCCACAATAACCCAAGCAAAATGGACTGGAGGTATGACTCAAGTGGTAGAACTCCTGCGTTGCAAGTACAAAGCCCTGAGTTCAAACCTCAGTCTCACCAAAAAAAGAGAGAGAGAGAGAGAGAGAGAGATGGATAGAGAGTGGGAGAGAACCCCAAAGTCAGGAACTAGGATCAGGATGCAGCCACAAGTGAGATGGCTGAACCTGGATCTGAGGAGGCCTGAGAGCCAGCACCAGCTGTCAGGAAACATAAGGGACAAAGAAGTATGTTGAACATCAATGCGGGGTGCAATGGATAAAATCCACACTGTGGGGGACTCTATACGGCAGACAACACTGTATTTTCAATAAGAAAAATTATAAGGAAAAAGAAAGAAACAGAAAAATGGAAGGTGTATCCACAGATTAAAAGACATTTAGAGTCATACGGACCATTTTCAAGGTATGGACCCTGTTCAGATCCTGACTCAGAGTTTTAAAAAGTTATGAAGCCTTCAGCAACTGAGAACACTGACTGAAATTTGATGACTGAAATAGGGATCAAGGGTGGGCTGTGAATTCCAGAGAACATTATGCAGTCCCTGCCCCACACTAGCAGAACAGAGCACAACGCCACCCCACCTTCTGCCTGGCTCCCATCCTGCCTCTCAAAGCCTCGCTGGCAACTCACTTATGCTGTCTGTGCAACATGGCAACAGATGCTCTGTGTATGTGCACATGCACACATGTACACACACGCACACATTGAACTACCTCCCTCAGGGCCCAGGTTGTTGTTCAGCATCCTCAGGGGAAGCAACCCAGGCTCAAGGTGACACCCTGCATCACCCAATGGAGTCTCCTGTTCCACTTGCCTCTCTTGCTTCCCTCCATAAAATGGGGAAGCTGTTGGGCTGGGGCAGTAGAAAGCCAGCCTGGGGCTAGAAAGACAGTAGAGGCTTCAGCTCCTTGTCTCACCCACACCCACTTGAGCTGAGCAGGAGCAGCATGAACAGGAGCTCAGGTCACGCTCTGCCCCTTGCAGTTGTCTCCTCTACCTGCTCATGCCAGGGTCCCCTCCATGATCCGGGAGGATGAACTGTGGGGATGTGTAGAAAACACCGGGCACAGTCAGGCCTGGAATGAACCTCTAGGAAGGGTTGGATTTGACTATTTCCAGAGGGGTTCGGGGACAGGGAGGAGATGACACTGTTGTCATGTTTCCAGGCAAGCTTCTCCACCTGAAGGGGAGTGGAACAGGTGCCTGACCTCAGCCTCACACTTTCTTTTTTTTTTTTTTTTTTGGTGGTACTGGGGTTTGAACTCAGGACCTACACCTTGAGCCACTCTGCCAGACCTATTTTTGTGATGGGTTTTTTTCGAGATAGGGTCTTGTGAACTATTTGCCCTGGCTGGCTTCAAACTGCGACCCTTCTGATCTCTGCCTCTTGAGTAGCTAGGATTACAGGCGTGAGTCATCAGTACCCGCCCTGCAGCTGTGACCATTTTCAACAAGGCAGGGCGATAGGGGAGTCACTGCTTGTGTCGAGTCCCACCCTGCCCCCTGTCATTCTCAGTCCTGTTTATTCAGTACTCTCACCAGACACGGGGAAGAGATGAACATGCTGTCCTGTGGGGAGGGAGAGCCGCACCATGGAGCCGTGGTGGTGAAACCTCAAACAGAGGGGTCTTCCCCGCCAAACCCAACTCGACCAGGAGGAGGATATGCCAGCCCAGGAGTGGGCAGCAGGACAGACAGTGGGGAAATGGGGATATGAAGCTCATGTGGGTAGTGGGCCAGAGCCCCTCCCTGCCCTCCTCCCCTGTAGGACAATTAGTAAGTGAGTGGGGAGGACCTGGGGAATCATAACAGGGAGCATGAATCCCTTGACAGTCTCTCCAGGGAGACAGGAGGACAGCAGCCCCACTCTTCACTACCCCTGGGGACAAAGAAAATGTGGGTGGCTGAGGGGCTTTGAACCCTTCTCACCATCCTGAGCGCCCCCCCATGTCTGTATCTGTCCAGGAGCTGAAGGACCTGGCAGCCCAAGTGAAGGATGTGTCAGTGACAGTTGGCATGGACAGCCGCTGCCACATTGACCTAAGTGGTCTAGTGGAGGAGGTGAAGGCCCAATATGATGTCATCGCAGCTCGCAGCCTGGAAGAGGCTGAGGCGTACTCACGGAGTCAGGTATGGGGCTGACCTTGAAGGGTGGGACATTCCTCTCTGGGCCACAGGAAGGGTTGGGCAGGAGATGGCTAAGGGCACCTGCCACTTTATGTCCTGAGATTCTCCGAAGGGGTGTGGGGAGGCTCAGAGGCCAGCGTGGGCTGGATGGGGACCATAGCATTCTGTCTACAAGTGGCAGTGGAGAACATGAGCCAGCATATGCCAGGCTCTGGGGACAGTGGAGAGAGAAGCCACAGTCTGTGGCTACAGTCTTAGAGGTCACAGTGGTGTTATCCACCCAGGTCGGATGTGGGCATAGCTGTGGGGTTCTCCAAAGGCAGCTGGGAGAAGGCCACCCAAAGGGACATTTGGGGTAGAAGAAGGAGGTGGGTCTAGGGGTGGGGCTGCAGAGGAGAACAGGAGAAGCTTTTGAGGTGGAAGAGCCAGGGCAAGGATGGAGAGGTGCCAGGAAGGGTGTACTGAGCCACCCTTCATTGTGACCTCCACTCCCTCACCAGCTGGAGGAGCGGGTCGCCCGCTCAGCCGAGTTCGGGAGCAGCCTCCAGAGCAGCCGCAGCGAGATCGCTGATCTCAACGTGCGCATCCAGAAGCTTCGGTCCCAGAGCCTCTCCATCAAGAGTCATGTGAGTGTCTGCAGGACTGCAGGGACCGGACAAAGAGGGGATAGGGAGAATTCACATATACACACACCGAGTGTGCACAAGACCTGGCCAAGTGCCCTGAGCAGGTCACTTCGTTCCTCTGTGCCTCAGTTTCCTAATCTCCCACCTGGCAGAGCAGCACAGTCTGCTGAGGTGGTCAGGAGGATCACATGAGGTTTGCACAGAAACGTGACCTGTAAACTGGTCTGGGTTGCTGGGATGTCAGAAAGCTCTTCCACCACACACACACACCTGAACAGAACCCCCACCTCCTGTTCAGACCCCCACCAACCATACAGAGAGAAGGGAGTGGGAGCCTAAATTCCAGCTTCCAGCTAGGGCTTAGGACTAGGCTTTAGAGCAAGTGCTGTCTTATAAGGACAGCTGGGAAGCAGCCTTTAGGGGCCTGTGGGACTTGCCTTAGGAAAGTGTCTCTTTAGGTCTAACTGAACTCTCTCTTATTGCATTGTAACCCATTGCCACTCCCAAGAGCACCATTGTTTCCCCCAACATGTGCCTTGCCCATCCATGCACGCTATTGTCAGACTCCTAGCCTGGCCCACTCCCTCCCTCCCACTCACCAACTCCTTTCCTTTGACCTCCTGGTGCAGTGTCTGAAACTGGAGGAGAACATCAAGACCACTGAAGAGCAGGGTGAACTGACCTTCCAGGACGCCAAGGCCAAGCTAGCCCAGCTGGAGGCCGCCCTGCAGCAGGCCAAGCAGGACATGGCCCGGCAGCTGCGCGAGTACCAGGAGCTCATGAACACCAAGCTGGCCCTGGACATCGAGATCGCCACCTACCGCAAGCTGGTGGAGGGCGAGGAGAGCAGGTGAGGGGCTGGAGGGGTAGGGTGGTACTGGAGAGAGGGAGGGCTGGAGGCCCAGGCCCAGAGTCCACCTCCCCTCCAGCACGACACAGTGAGCCTGGCAGGCCTGCATGCAAGACCTGGCTCAGCCACTTACTGGGATCTTACCCTAGTTCATTTAGTCTCAGTTTCCCCAACTGGAAGATGATCCTAAACATGACTCACTTGTGATGGAAAAGCCATACAAATATCTGTCAAAAATCAGTGCTCAGTAATGTTAGCTACTTACGCAGAGCAAAGAAGGAACAGAGAGCGTTAACCAGGGTCACACCAAAGGGCAACCCCAAGGCCGAGAGTAACAAGCAAGAATCACCCTCCACTTTGCCTGCCTCCTGGTTCCAGTCCCAAGGGAGCTAAAGTCACAGGCTTCCTTCACATCCCATCATGTCCCTCTCCTCCCCCAGGATGGACCTTCCCTCAGCCACTGTGGTCAGTGCTGTGCAGTCCAGATCCAGAATCGGTGAGCCACCTCCCCCAGGAACTAGTGGTGGGGAGGGGTCCTGGGCATAGGGGATCATGACCCTAAAGGCATCATTTAAGTGGCTTTCAATCCTCTAGCCCCTTCCCTCCCCACCCCCTTGTGTCCCTTGTAGCTGCCTCCAAGTCAGGCCTCTCCAGGGCTCCCTCCCGGAAAAAGAAGAACCGAAGAGGCCCTGTGATTCAAATCACTGAAATGTCAGAGAAGTACCTCTCACAGGAGTCAGAGGCCTCGGAGTAAGGCAGCTGGACCCCAGGAGCCCCAGGTCACTCCTACTACAGCAAGAGTGACCTAAGCTAGACTCAAGAATACAGCTTGGAGCCTCCAGGTTGGGAGGGAAGACAAAACCTTGTACAAAACCAAAAGAAGGGTTCCAACCAGAGACTACATTTGGTGGTGGGTTGCCAGTTCCATTCTGCGTCAGTGTCTCAGTACCTCCCTTCCAACCTTCTGGTCACAGGTGTTCCTGGCTGGGTGAATGGGAACTTGGGGTCAGTCTGTGTCACTTCTCCACTCCTCTGAGCCTCTTCTCCCATGAAGGGCTCTGACCAAGGTGCTTCAATACTTTGCCTGACACTTGCCCTAAACTTCTGTCTCAAGCCTTGCCTTGCCTCTGCCTCAGATCTGAGGCTGGTGCCTTCACTCCCCACCCAGTCTATGAGCTGGGCTGAAGAGAAAACTCAGGCCTTATCCTACATCTAGAATTTCTAAGGGGGCTGAGTGCTGAAGATTCCACAGCTTTCATCCACTTGGGGTCCCCAGACACTGACAGTATTACGGGGTGAGGGGAGGAAAGGCCTGGGTGTTTCAGACAAGAGCCCAGATTGCAGATTAGCCAGGACACCTGCACCTCCCCTTCTTCCAGCGGGCCCCTCCCAGAAGATCCCAGTCAGAACTGGGCAGGCTGCCACCATCCAGCTCCCTAGGTCTCTCCAGAAGCTACTCTGGCTGTGGTTATCTCCCTGAAAATGGAAGCCAGTTGACAGTCTAAGACCAGGCAGGAGAATACAGCCCCTCCCCTTCACTTCCTTGCATTCTGTAGTGTGCCACCAGACTGGGATCTGAGTGTCATGTCCCCATCCTAGACCTCTCCCAGCCTCAGCCTGCTGTAGCACGTCCTAGTGACCCCTAGCCTACCCTGCCTGGAAACTCCAAGCCCCTTCATTGCCTATGAACCCCACTTCTCAGGGCCCCTGTTCTCCTGCCTTCCTTTACATTCCCTGAGGACCTGGGACACCCCACTCCTGTGGGCTTCCAGCTTCTTTTCTTCCCACACTTGCCCCTTGCTCCCTCCTTGCCTACTCTCCCTGCCTCAGAGGGCCATGAAGAAGGCACAGTCCGGCAGGTCTGGGAGCTTCAGAGCCCTTGGGTTGGGCTGGGGAACCCCAATGACAGCCTTAAAAGGACTCAACCAAAGAGAAAAACCATACAACAAAATGTGGGGTCTGCAGCATTGTTCCTCATTTCTGCTCTTGTATCAGCTCTGGGGCTTGCAGAAGAACCCTACCAGTGCCAGCCTCCCCTCCACCTTCTCTCCCCTTGCCTTGCTCCCCTTCCTACCTTGCCTCACCTCCTCTTCTAGCCTGTCTAATTCCCTCATCTCATTCTCCAGGACAGGAAGTCCCAGGCCTTGGCCCTCCAGGCCTGTGGGGGACACTGATGAGCTAACAATGCTCTCAGGCCAAGGGACCTCAGCTATATACTCATCCCTAAAGTCCCCCAAAGAGGGTGCTCACTGCTGCTTTCTCTCGGGGTATTTAGTGGTTTCCAAGGGAGCAAATCCTCAGTGGGGATGCAAGATATAAAACATATATATTATTTTTTCATAACTTATGTGGCTTTTAAATTATTGCTTCCCTTCTTGTTTCTGCATGATCCATGCTGTATGAACTATCTGGATTTTAAATAACACATATCCCAGCCACATACCTGACTGACTGACTATCTTGGGGCAATGCCCCCTTTTCCCTGCCAAGGGGTGAATAAAATGTTGAGATTTGTGTATGGAGAAAGTTGTGTGTCTGTTTCAGCTCCTCTCTTGAGGCAGATCCATCAGATTGGTCATGGGATATTATGAACTCTCCAATTACAGGAGAAGGGGAGGTTTGGATATGAAAAGGTCCCCTGCCCTGCCATCCTACAAGGTTCCCAGTACCTCCCAACATGTCCAGGCACCATGTGGGCCGCCTCACCAGGCACAAGCAGGGGGAGTCCCCACCTGGTAGCAGGGTTCCTTCTACAGCACTTCTGCCTGGCCATGGAGTTGGCACAGCCCAGAATATATTCAGATGGGTACAGGCCTAATCCTGCCAAATAAAATTCTAGATCAACAAATAAGGATGAAGGACCTCTGCAAGCCCAGCCCTGTGCTCAGACAGCAAGACTGCTGTCATTCCCCCAACCCCTCCATGCACACACACTGTGAAGAACCCACAGTCAGGTTCAGTGACAAGATAGAAACTTAAGAGAGTCAACCTAGACTTCCTCCCCAAGTGCAGAAGTGGGTCTTATGGCAGGTTTGAGAAGGGAGATGCCCTTGGCATATCCTAGTCCACCCACGCACTGGCCATAAGACCTCAGGCAAACGGAGCCTCAGTTTCTCCCTAGGTGACATGGAACAGGCAGCTCTCCTACCTGCCTCAAAGGTGTCTGGGGATATAACGAGAGCTGTGGTCACTCCTATCAGGAATCGCTCGCTGCAGGCACTATGCCCTGTAAGAGCTCAACCAATGTATAGGCTCAGTGATGATGTCATTATTGCCAGGGAGGCAGATGTTAAGGATTACAGACGACTGACTACAGGAGACCTCATGCTGGCTCACTGGGGACACAGCACAGCCAGGCCCCTGGGACAGAAGTTCAGAGAATTGAGTTCACCCCTTCTCCTGAGCGCTCTGCTATCAAAACTCTCACCCCTCTCTGCGAGAGCATAAGAGCTGAGACCGAGATTTCATGTTATCTTTGGTTTCTGCTTTATTAACTTCTGAATATGCATTTAAATTTCTGAATCTGAATTTCAGTAAAAAAATTCTATGATGTATTTGTTATTCATCATTTCCCAACTTTTTTTTTTCAATACTAGGGATTAAACCAAAGACCTGGAGCGCAGTAGGCAGGTGCTCTACCACTTGAGCCATGCCCCCAATCCTTTTGATTTTGTACTTTGTTTCTGAGATAAGTCTCACTACCTTTGCCCAGGCTGGCCTTGAACTTTCCATCCTCCTATCTCCATCTCCCGAGTAGTTGTCATTACAGATGTGGGCCACCACACCCAGCTCATTTTCCAACTCTTGAGTTGAATGCTTCAATTTTGGTTCTTTTTTTTTTTTTTTTAATATAAGATCATTTGGAGATCTTAAATTTCTCTAGAAGTACCATTTTGATGGTCTCCTATCATTCTCATTTGGAGCATTTTAATTAACACATAGTTAAAGCAATGCTGTTATTTGACTCATAAGTTATTTAGCAATCTGTGAGCCACACACAAGCATTTATTGAATACATACTTAGTCTGTGCCTGGTCCTGCTCTGGATACTTGGGAGCAATTAAACTCAACCAACCTTGGCTCCCTACTACTCTGCTTAAGGACCTTCAGTTGCCTGCTTTGTGCTTTGGGTTGGTTGGTTGGTTGGTTGATTGATTTTTTTTTTTTTTTGAAACAGGGTCTTGCTCTGTAGCCCAGGCTGGCCTCAAGCTTGAGATTACAAACTGCCTCAACCTCCTGAGTGCTGGGATTACAGGCATACACTATCACAGCCAGCTTTGCTTTGTGCCTTTTATCCCTAGGTGACTCTAAACTCTTTAAGGGTAAAGATCCTATCCCACTGCATCCCCAGGGACTTGAGAGTGTTGGGCCCAGATAAAGCCTTCAATAAATTTAAAATGAGTGAAAGAGGGGCTGGCAGAATGACTCAAGTGGTAAGCACACCTGCCTAAATTGAGTAAAAGAATGATTGAATGACATTCCTCCCTAGCTGAGCTCCACCAACCTAAAAATTCCAAGATAGCAGGGCCATGTCTTCTTGACCTTGGGTCCCCAGTGCTAATGCAATGTCTGGCACATGGAAGGGGCACAGCAGGTGTGTGCAATGTAAATGAATGGACAAATGGGAGAAAATTACTTCCCTACCCAAGTACAGAGACTCTCCTGCCCCTTTCCAGCTAGCAGTCTTCAACAGGCCCTGAACAGTGCACAGAGTCTACCACTTCCAAGATCCCCCTCACCTCAGCCCACTCCTGGCAGGTCAATGAACCCCTGACCGAGCCTTCCAATGAACCACCAGCCTTCCTCTGGCTAGAGCAAAAATAAACCCTTATTCAGGTTTGCTTTTTTCTTCTCTGTTAGCTGAGTGAGGTCCAGAGAGGCCAAGGTGTGAGAGGAAGCATTTTGACTTCCCAGAACCATTTTTTACCTGCAGACTGCCTACCATAAGAGCAGAAAAAATAACCAAGCAGGAGAGCTGGTGAGGTGGAGGTTGAAACACAAAGGGTAGGTAGAATTGAGCAGGAGTCCAGCTGTAGTTCCCAGGCTCAGTGTGGAACATCAGAGTTCAGAGGTCTTGGGCCAGGCCTGGAGAGGCAGTGCCCTGGTGACCCTGGTGACTCTGGCTGAAGCTTCCTACAAGGGGAGCCCTGTGTACTCCCTGCGGGCACAGCTTCCCCTTGGGCCCCTTCTCCGGAAAGAAATAGCTGGAGACAAGTGTTGTCTTGAGATTGGGAAGTTCTGGGCCCCAAGAGGGAGACCCACAAGAGGGGAAACAGCAGACAGAAGGATCAGAAATGCCCAGAACTCCCATCACACAGAGGCCTGCAGAGCCTCTGGGGGAAGTCAAACTGACTTCCTGCAAGAGAGGAGGAGGCAGTATGGGAAGGAGGGGTGTTAGAACTAACAAAGAAAAAGGAAGGGGAGCAGACTTGCTCAGCTGCCAGCCTGGGCTGCCAGTCACCAGACAAGAGCCCAGGAAGCCTGAATGAAGAATGAGGAAAACTATAGAAACACAGGTTATAAAGTGGGGTAACCCTTGAAACCTCCACCAGGATATAAGGCAACTGGCACAAGGACTGTCTTACTCACCTGTGCACCCTGGTGAATGAAGGCACGAACATCCCGAGATTGCAGCTACTAAGGGAAGCAAGATGAACCCATCATGGAGCATGCTTTGAGCATCTGCTGTGTATGATACCGGATGATGGGCACACTGGGGACAAAGGAAGGCATAAAGGGTGAAACGGAGTCCAT